ATATTTATATATTTTATTTATATTTATTTTATTTATATATTTATTTATCGTTATTTTATTTATATATTTATTTATCTTTATTTTATTTATATATTTATTTATTTTATTTTGTTATTTTATTACGAAGAAGAGAAAATTAAATAAATTAAAATAAAATAAAATAAAATAAAATAAAATAAAGAAAAGAAAGAAACACAAGGAAAGAGAATGAGAAAGGAGACAAAAGGAGACAGAAAAGGAGACAGAAAAGAGACAGAAAAGGAAACAACAGAAAACAAAAGAAAACAAAACAAAATATAACAAAAGGAGACAAAAAGAGGCAAAAGGAGACAGAAAAGGAGATAGAAAAAGAGACAGAAAAGGAGACAGAAAAGAAAACAAAATAAAACAAAAGGAGGCAGAAAACAAAACAAAATAAAACAAAATAAAACAAAAGGAGACAAAAGGAGACAAAAAAAAACAAAAGAAAACAAAAGGAGACAAAAGGAGACAAAAAGAAAACAAAACAAAACAAAACAAAACAAAAAAAAAATAAAACAAAATAAAACAAAAGGAGACAGAAAAGAAAACAAAAGAAAACAAAACAAAACAAAACAAAACAAAACAAAAAAAAGGAGACAGAAAAGGAGACAGAAGAGAGTGTTGCTGGATACCTCATATATCTCTCTTTGGTATTCTAATTGCGAAGAAAGAATAAGGCTCAGCTGTCTCTCCTGGTTGTCTCCTTCTGTCGATGAGGAGACAGATACGCTGCATGCGCCTGCTGCTGCTGCTGCTGCTGCTGCTGCTGCTGATGCTGGTGCTGGTTCTGGTTCTGCTGCTGCTTCTAATCGTGCTGCTTCTCCGGCTCCTGCTGCTGCTGCTGCTGCTGCTGCTGCTGCTGCAGGAGATAGGTCGTCGACGTCTTCCTTCATCAGACTCTTCTCCTGCTGCTCTTCCTGCTGCTGCTGCTGCTGCTGCTGCTGCTGTTGCTGCTGCTGCATCGATGGGGGTTCGTTTGTTATTTCTATTTGGCTTTCTTTGTGCTCCTCCTCAGACTCCCCCTGGGAGAAATCTCCTGCTGCAGCTGCATGCTGCTGCTGCTGCTGTTGCTGCTGCTGCTGCTGCTGAGCAATACCAGCATCGCTAGTAGCAGCAACAGCCCCATCAGCAGCAAAACCATCTCCTGCTGCTCCCGCTGCTGCTGCTGCTGCTGCTCCTGCTGCTGCTGCAGCTGCATCAGCTGTACCCCTTGTAGCAGCCCCTCGATTCCCTTGTCTCCGCCGCCTATTATGCAACCCAACCCCACCACCAGGGCACCCCCCCCCCTGGGGGCCCCCCTGAACCCTCTGGGGCCCCCCTTGGGGGCCCCCCTGGGGGCCCCCTTGGGGTCCCCCCTCGTGATCACCGAGAAGAGGTAGTTTGCTCGTTTGGTGTGTGTGTGTATATAGTGTGTGTGTATACATGTGTGTATTTTGTATAAGAGTATCCGCGGCATAAAGAGAAGAAAAAGAAGAAAAATAATTATTTTTTTTGGGGTGTATGTACGAAAGAGACAAAAGAGACTGTACATATTTGTCTCTTAAATAATCCCAAATTGCTGCATTTTTTAAATCGAAGCAAAATCGATGAAAATATAAAAAAGAATGACGCTGCGCGTGCCCACCACTGTACCGGCCGCAACCTAAAAAAAAAAAAAAAATATGTATTTATTTATTTA